TTATATGAGGTGTCCAAGAAAACCAGACTGAGGCAATTTCTGCGCGAGTAAAAAATCCAAGTATATAGTTCAGGGGCAGAATTAATTTACTTCCATTAACATTGCATTCAGGTTCATTGCGTTATAGTCCGGGTTATTTATTTACAAACCGGGGAAGCTCATTGGTAACCTGACTCGGCAATGTTGCGGCGGTACGAAGACGAGACGGAGAAACGCCTGGCGTGCTGGTGGCTTAATTGCTCAGGGATTCCAGCTCGTTATGGCCGGTGTCTCAGGTACGCTTACATAGTCCGTTACAGCGGTTTCGCTAACCCAGTTCGCGACTCGGTTCCCCGGCCATTTACCATGCGGAACCGAAATTTCCACCGTCGTCGTTAGAATCTTAAGGCGATCGTGGCTTCCCTCCTCGCTTAGTAGCTGAAATTTACCCGACCTTTCCATTCGCCGAGGATCTCAACGATTGTACGCGTCCCGCACGTTATCGAATACTTAGCCGAGGTTCGAGCGAACATGGTCACGCAATACGTGTACAAACAATAAACGCTCAAAATCAGTCTCGTGGCGAAAATTTATTCGGGAGAGAACATCATAAAAAAATACTTTGGCATTGTATCGAAAGCGATCGTTGTATTGCAACAATTCTTCTTAAATGTGTCTCTTCGGAATACTATTTTCCCAATTCTAACACGTAACTAAATTAATTTTACTGCCATTTTACTTGAATAAATTTTAATTTCGGGTCTTATAGAAATATTTTGTAAAAGATAATAATTCACACTGTTTTAAAATAATTTAAAGACGGTGTTGGTATATCGCAATTATAATCATTTATAATGTTTTACGAAAGCTATTTTACTTCATACAAAATAGTCTTTTCTATTCTCATTGTCAGTCTGTTACGATTTTCTCGCCGCTTTTGGCACTCAGTATCGCCAGCATTTATCCGACAGACTTTCGCGCGATCAATCCGCGGCTCTCCCTTTGCTACCTCCCTTAACTTCGTACTGTCTCGTGAAAATTTCTCGATGTGCACCACCGACGAGTCTATCTTCGGGGTGTAATTCGCGAACGTCAACGGAATACCAATGTCGCCGCCGCCTTTCTCTATCGCGTCGTCCTCGCCGTTCTCCATTCTCTCCGTGAGTGGTCATAAAAGTTTAGAGGAAAGCCCGTTCGGGATAGGGGGAGAGAGAGAGATGGGGAGAGGGAGATGGAATGAGAATCTCACAAAGTAAGAAAAAAGACGAATAGCTCGTAGATGGTCTACTTTATTGCGGCGTTGGACATTATATAGCTTATGAAGGTGGGATGGTAGAGCGGCAGCTTTGGTTGGATCAGAGAGAGAAAGAGAGAGAAGAGGAAGAGAAGAAGATGGAGAGCTTTTCGCTCGTGAATGAATGATCAATCGTTCCGCATATTGACTGGCATGGCGAGAGAGTCAAAATGAATTTTTATACATTGATCGTTTACCGTTCATTCAATGTTGAACGATAAAACAGAGCAAATTCACTCACTGAGGGTACATATAGAATTAATTGGACGTGGTTATGTAATAGAAAACCAGCTGTTATTATTGAATTTTTTTGTCGTACTGCAAAAGTTGCTCTAATTTTTTTATCACAAATAAACGTCGACCAAGAAAAGTATTATATTACTGTAATGACGTGAGTTTAAAGATAAATTCTAACTCGGTGACAAGTTTTACATATTTTTCGTTTTTTCTTATTATAAAATACTCGAACTGTGTTTTACGATTACATCTATATTGAGGATTCCGCACGATTCTTACGAGAAAAACGTTTTTGGTCAATTTGCTTATGAATTTATGATTTATTGTGGTTTTCATGTTTCTTTCATCAACTCTTTATGATTAGTTTTTGAATTATGGGCATTTAAAAATCTTATTTACTAAAACTCTTCATCAGGGACGCAAAAACTACAATATATCACAAATTTAAGCAAACTGACCGAAAACTGTCGGTTGTTTTTCATGAAAATCATGCGGGGTCCTTTCCAAAATTCTTTTGTAACGTAATATAATTTAGAGAGGGATAATCTTTCAATATCTCTACCTTTCCTCTCTTGTTGTTCTTTGCGTTAGTTCGCTGTTTATATGTATTATCGTGATATTACGCCGCGTCATTGTTTATGCGATTGCGATTGCAATCTTTAATACGAAACTCCGGAGGCCGCTTCTTTTTACATCTGAATTGTAAATTTCGTGCACCGCGTGCGTGGAATGATAAATACTTATTCTTCGTTCTCGTAGAGAGCCGGCTCCCCGGAGAACCGTACGTGACTCAGTCCGGAGAATAGCTCCTTGCTTCTTGCGAAGCGGCGGATTGAGCTTTTCGATGCTTTTTCCCGCCGCGAGAAGGATAACCACGAGAGATAACTGCGAACGAGCAGTGAATTAAATCGAAGTCAATATTTCCCTTGAATTATGAAAGAATCGCGAAAGATACCGGGCGGCAAGATCGTAGACAGGTCGAGTTCGAATCGAACGTTTCATCTTTAATTTAAGAAATAATTCGCTGTAAATTTCGCCGAGTCGAGTCATCATCGATAAATTTCAACCAATCGTTGACGGATACGCTTTCGCAAAGGAGAAAGCGATCTTGACATTTTATTGAAACGTTACGTAAGTGAGTGTGAGATTTAACAAAGTGGCATTTTAATCGGAAAAGGGAGGCGAATAAAAGAGAAAGGGAGAAGAATTACTAAGCGGGAATGGATCTAATGCATAATTGAAAACTAATCTACGTATCGTCTGCGAATTTCGAAAATGACATTTCTGTATTATTAGCCGACATTTGTCAATAATTCAAACGAGCTTATTCGATTTTTACACACACACACACGCGCGTCACGCTCGTGTGTGATAACGCACGTACAGCCGAGAATTACAGCTCGTTAATTACCGCCGATGATCTCGAATCCAATAACCCTGATGCGCGTTATTAACTTTTGCAGCGTTAATTTATATTCCATTATATTTATTTCGCGCCATTTATCGCGGCTCGAAATCGCAAGTATAAAGCCTGCATTCCCCATCAATTTATCGTTCATCGTGATTTTTATCGGCGGAACGCCGCTATCTTGTTTGTGTATTATTAGTACCGTTAATGGCGGCGTGTTTTCGTTTATCCGATATACCCCAATTCATTGCCGAAAGTCGTCGAACGTACAACCCCATTGGTCCCCGAGTGAGGATTGCAGTTTTTCCGTTCCGCGCGCGACTCGACGGATCGAGCTTTTCGATACGGAGGATAAAGTAGGAAAAAAGAGGATCTAAGAAGACAGAGGAGGGAGCGGCGGTGGGGGAGGGGGGACGAACGACCAGTGGATCAAACCGAATCCAATAACTCCCGTGGGATTACAACTCTGGCCCACGGGAACCGATCGTATTCCGAGAAGATGGCGGGTGTGAGACACGAGACAGGAAGAATGAAGCGGGAGAGGGGAAGAGAAGGGGGGTCGACGGTTGGAGGGAAGTTTAGAAAGGTGGTCGCTCGTCCGTGAGAAGGGGGTATAGGAGGTTGGCAGCTTTCTTCTTTGCGGAGACGGCGATATTTTGTCGAGCTCGACCCGAATGTAGAGAAACAGCGCGGACTGCATTCGTATCAGCCGATATACAGTGGCTGGATCGGCAGAGGATGAGACTGCTCCGCGGGGAGCGGAGAAACGGAGAGAGAGAGATAGAGAGAGAGAGACAACGAATTCGCAAGCCCCGATATACCCTACCCACTCGTAGACACGTAGACAATATTAATCCGTTGCGGCGCGGTCGCAATAATTGCCGCCGCTTTTTATATGTCGAACACGATATCGCTCCCCTGGGGCGCGGGCAATCGGGTCGCGCCGCGCCGCCGCGCCGGGACAAACGGCAAACGGCCAAGCCACTTGCCGCTAAATGATAAGAAAATACGCTGTTCAATCACGAACTTGTCAGACTCAACGGGTTTCCGTGACGCGCCTCGCAAGGCGTTCCCCGGCAAATTGAATTTCTCGAGGCGCCCGGATCTCCCGATCTCTTGCGGCCGGCGCGTGCGAGCGCGAGCTCGCAGCTCGCACGCGAGCAACGATAAACGAACGAAAATGACTTAGCGCCGCCGGTTCCAGACCGGCCAACGATACGGTGTAACTTATAAGTCGTTCGCGGGATTTTGACAAATCGTCCGAGCCCGACCAATTCCCGATTTTCTCATCCCGTTCCTTCTTTCTTCTTCTTCTTCTTCTTCTTTTCCTTTCTTTCAGCTTCTCTTTTCTCCTGGCCCATCCTCCGGCCACCTCGTTTCCTCTTTCCCGCCCTGATCCAGCCGCCTCCTCGTGTCGGCGCTCTAAATCCTCGTGCCATGCCGCGCGAAAACTTTTTCCTCCGCGAAGTTGGAGTTTTCTCGGGTTTATCGGCAGTGCGGGTAGTTTTTACTTGGCAACTCCGTTTTTTTCTCTTTGCCTCCCCTCCCGCCGTCCGGGGTCTCTCCTTCGTTCTTTTCCCTGCCAGTGATTCGTTCCCGGTCGTCTTTACGTGGATCAGATAAGACCCCATAGCCACGCAAATCAAGCGGAACAAGCGGCTGCGCCGATCGCCCGATCGGACGGGCGCGGGCGTTTCGGCGATCGATACGATATCGCGAAAGGGTCCCTCGCACGATGATAAGGTTTATCGGGTCTACGTTAATCCAATAGTTTAGCAATTGCTTCGTTCTTGTCGTTGGAATTGATAACGGAGACCCGTATCGTTTCGTACCTCTCGCGCTAAATGTGACCGCCTTAGGAGGTCTTCGGGCTTTTCGGTCAGAGATAACGTCGTGAGTTCCGTCGAGGTAATTTCGGCAGATCGCAAACAATCGCAATACTTTCACGTGGAAACGCTAAAAGATGCATCGCGCGTCCCAGTAACGTGAGACTAGCGGCGCCGAACTTTCGTCGACGAGACACATCGCGAAAATGGGAAAGCGCACAAAGTACAGGGGGAGACAAAGAAGAATTGTACTTACTGACTAAGGTGAGAAAAGGCGTACTGTGCTGCAGAAAATGGGGCGGGCTGCATGCTTCTTCCGGTCTAGATACCGCGCTCCCCGTTTGCAGCTCGATCACGTGGCCGTCTCTTCGGTAGAATGTCATGCACATAAAACCGCTCCGACTGGAAAAAAGAAGGGCGCGAAGATCCGTAAAGATCGGGGCGAGCATATTCCTGTCGCTTTAATCGCGACCGCTGTAGATATCCGAACAGATATTTACGGACAAGCGGATACGAATTAGAATTACGAAGTATCATCGCGATTTCGTGAACGTGAGTCGATTCTCCCGTAAAACTTTTTTCCGTGCGACAATTTCTTTTTTTTATTATTTAAATAATTATTCATGAACTCTTCATATCTCATCTTCCATGTGTGTGCGTTTGTGAAGTTGGCGTATCGTTTTGTGGAAACTCATAAAGTACCTATTATGGCTTTATTTTTAATAAAGTTTTATAGTTCCCTATATAGGTTAGATAAATAGTCTTGGTCATTAAAGCACAAAAAATGTCTCTCTCACAAAGATTCACGCAGCGTCTCACTTTGCCCCACGGCGTTTTTCGTAACATTCATTGCTAGATTTCAAAAGATTTATAGCACTATATAAGTTCTGGAAAGAATTATGGCAATCTTGTTTTTTTTCTTTTTTTTATGATTTTTATCACTCGAAGAATTTATTTTTATGGGGACAGAGGTGGAATGCTGACCGATTCTAAATAGTTGTAATTATTCTTAAAAAATAACATTTTGTGCCACAACCTCTTTATAAAATTGTCAAATACGTTCAGAACTGCTCGAAAAATATTTTATGATAAATGAAACTCTCGAATATCGACCAGCTCCCTCGTCTCACCTCCATGCTCCTAGCATTGCATTTTTCGATCGATCAAAATTATTAAAAAATGAGAAAATAATATTTATCGTCAGAACTTTATAAAATTAAATACGTTCAAAACTGCACGGAAAATATTTTATAGTGAATAGAACTCTCGAATATCGACCAGCGTTTCACCTTCATGCATCTAGCAGTGCATTTCTCGAGCGATCAAAATTATTAAAAAAATACAAAATAACATTTCTTGCAAACTCTTTATAAAATGGTTAAATACAGAACTACGAGAGAAACATTTTACAATGAATAGAACTCTCGAATATCGACCAGCGTTTCACCTCCATGCTCCTAGCGTTGCATTTCTCGAGCGATCAAAATTATTAAAAAATAATATTTCTTGTCAGAACTCAGAATAATATGGTTAAATACGTTCAGAACTACTTGAGACATATTCTACTATATAATGAATAGAATTTTCGAAAATCGTTCACGTTTATTCATGTAAGGGTGCCTTTGCCGGGTGATAAAAATTGTTTAAAAAATTCAAAAAAAAAAAACTTATTTTCAGAACTCTATGTAAAATGTTTAAATACTTTCAGAACTGCACGAGAACTCTTTTAGAATAATTGAAATTATTTAGAATTGGTCAACATCCATTCCCCCCTCAAGTGATAAAAATCATTTAAAATTAAAAAAACAATATTTATCGCCAGAACTTTTCAGAACTTATGTAGAACTTGTGTAAATCTTTTGAAATCTAACAATGATTGTTAAGAAAACTCCTGTATGATAAAGTGAGACGCTACGTCTCAGCGAGAACCGGCGTCTCAGTTTGTCTTCAGGCATTTTTTGTGTTTTAATGATCAGAATTATTTGTCTAACCTATAAAGAAGTATAGAACTATTAAAAATAAAGCCAGAACTCTCAGCACTTTACGAATTTCCACAAAATGATACGCTAACTTCACATCTTCCACACACACACATGCGGCGTGTATTTTTATAATTAAAAAAATAATATTTGAATAAAAATAAATTATAAACACATCCTCGCTTTTTTTGCTCTTAAAGATTATAAAAACTAAATAGTTCCTCAATATAAATACTCACATATATAAAATGAATAATTGTAAAGCAGAATAAATAAAACATACAGAAATAAGACGATCTTACCAGCCGACAGTGAAGTGTGCCACCAGCGTCATCGTCGTCATGGTCTGCGCGCCATTCGACTGCTTTATGCTGTTGCAAAGGATCTTCACGTCCTGATCCTCCGGCCCGGGCACGTATTGCAGGTCCATGGACCCGCCTTCGAAACTCGACGAAGTCGTGTTTGGTCTTGCGACATGCAGAGACGCGTTTCGCGAATGAAACGTGTAGGATCTGCCGAGGTCCAGAGTGTGCCAGGTCAGTCCGCCGCTCGAGTGTCCAGTCAGCCAATTTGGGAATCGACATTCGCCCGGGGACGAGACTGAAATAGGAAACACCACGTTTTCAGTCGTTTAACGCGCTTTTGCATCTGATCACAAGTAAGAAATAATATATAGCCACCGTATCGCGTTGTGAAGTCAATTCTATTTCGGACAAGTAGGACAGACTGAAAATCGAGAAACAGACTTATTATCTCTAGAATATTTCGACGCAAGACGCTTCATCGTTCTTGACGCGATTTAAGGACATACATTTATAACGATCAAAAAATTAATTCTAGGATCAAATGTCTGCATCCATCTATGCTAAAACACCCTTACCGGGGCGGTAAGAGAGTTTACTGAGAAAAGTCTCTTATATTTGAATGTGCGAATTTTTCGATTAACGAAAAACTGATTAGATTTCCTCGTTAGGCAACACGCGACCCAGCCTCGCGTTTCCTCGTTAACCAGAGAATTCTACCGGGGCGTTAGGTCAAAGGCGGCTTCACTCGGAACCTCTCCCCGCGCGACTCTCGTAAAACGAATGATTCTCCAAGCGATCGTTACGCGTCCCATCACATATATCGGGCTCGTCGTCCGTAAAGGCCGCGGCTTCGACGTCAACGGCACGGCTACGTCGAACCGATGATATGCCGGTCGGCCGAGAACACCGCGGGCACCGTCCGAAAAATTCCGCAGGCTCCACGGCCGCTCGCCGTAAAGTCCTTCGTATATCGTGGAACGACAGTCGATAAACCGACGACGTCGATACTCCCCCGACAGTGCAGCAGAATCGTATAACGGATATCGCGTGGTCCAACGAATACGCCTATCCAGCAGCCTCCCTCTGCTCCCCCCGCGCCACGCCGTCCGTTTCGTTTTCATCCCACAATAGCGAGTGCACTGACGATGGCACCAACCCCCTCCGTGTGTCATACGCCACAGCCGTCCCACTTCCGGTCCGAGTGGGACGTAAAACCGAAGCGTCACCGAGAAGAGGTCACCCGATTCGCGTCGAGTGGCTCACGGCGGAGGGGTACGGTCGAGGGCGAAAGGTCGACCGAGCGGGTTAACGGAGCGCGCGCGGACCGTACGGTCGGTTTTATGGCATATAAAGGCATTGTTGCACGCGGCGCGGCAATGAATGGAAATAATTCAACGACTCGGCCGCTCGATAAGCACGTTCGCGATGCCCCACGGCCAAGATACAAATTCCCGCGATCGTAAACGTCGAGCCGTGTCTTCTCGCCCGTTTCCTTTAAGATTAGGGGAACGATCATGCCGTTATCGTCATTATTTTATCCGTTTCAGTCACGTCGCGCTAGAAATTAATAACGTTGATAAAGTTGTTGATTTGTAGATTCGCGTCGATATGTTTCCCCCGTTTTATTTTTTTTTATTTCATTCGTTGATATTTATTGATTGGTCCGTATTTTTTTCATTGGACGTCAGGATAAACTATTACGTACGTAATTTATTCATTTAACAGCACAACGTGAGAGTGAAAGAGACGTGACGTGAAATTTTTAAATTGCGTATCGCGCGCGCAAAAAAAACAAAAGGTACGATATTACATATCACATGTGCCGGTGACCTATATCACGCTCTTTCGGTGAAACGCGTTTAAATTCCCATCAAATGATTTATACTACAAATACAAATTACGTATTGCCCCAGTTTCGTTCCTTTTAGATTAATTGCAGAAAACGATAAAGTACAAATAGTACGTAGCCTCCCCGCTGTGTGCCCTTTTGACAGTATCATATGGCGAAACGTAATCTCGTGCAATAATCACGTAATAATGCCCTACATTTGCGTGATTATTTTCGCGATTATTTTCATTTTAAGGTTACATACGTTTGACAGGCCTAAAACTAGGTCGAAATTAATGAATTTTTATTGTAGTAAAATTATATCGAGTGCTCGCAACTCGTCGCGTCGCGGTCGCGTAAAAGAGTCACGGTGCGGTCTCGCATCGCGTGTACTACCGTATGTGTGTGTCTCTTGATATTTTTTAAAATAAAAATACATATCTTATAAAGTAGTCTTTTGAGAACATCTCTTGAAAATTTCAATAAAAAATGTCAAAAATTGAGGTCCTGGCAGCTATTTTCCCGAAATAGTGTTTTAAAAATCGATACCAGAAATATGTCGGAGATTATATAATGGACCGATTTGCATGAAATTTTTTACAGCTACTCTCAATACAATAATCTAATGCTTGTCATAGGATTTGTTCAATCTATGGCTTAGTTTTTTTTTTTTTTTTATAAAGAACACCCCGATTTTAAGGGGTCTCCTTCTATTCGAGATCTTTATTTCGGGCATCCCGATCGTTTAATCTAGAATCGCGTTCATTTAAAATTAAAAGGCAGACGTTAAAACCCGTTGGCAATTAAAGCTCCTTTTTTCTCGGAAATTAAGTTTCCAAAATTGGCCCTGGAACATGTCGGCGCGACGGGGGACTAGGCCGAATGAATTTAACCGCTCTGAATCGAACTACGTGCAATTTTGAGCGAATTACAAGTAATTGTAATGCAGATAAAGCGACGGTAATTCGGTGGAATATGCGTGATGTCATGATTATGAATTTATACACGAATTAATAATTGAGTGGATGTACGCGTACGCACGTGCGAGGAATTACGTCGATTTCGTCGTGTGCGAATATTACATTTATACCGTTACTGGCAATCGCGTTTGACAAACGCTTGAACATTTGTATTATCCACAATATTCTTTTGTAGATGTGACCGAATTGGGTTAAAGCGATTCGGCCGCGCTGACAATCCGAGATGGAACAGAGCGAAATATAAATCGCACAATCGTAAAATGACCTAATATGTCTAGTCAGGTTTTTCGACCCGATCCTCGACTTTTTTATCATTCATTACCTTTCTAACGTTTACATCTTCTATACTCGTTTTCATTTTAATAATTTTTACTCAAATAAATTTTTAAAATTTAGTCTCTATTTGAATCTCTATTCTAGGAAGATAAAAGTGTGTTACGAATATTTAGCGACTTATATTTTTCATTTTCTCTTCTTCGTTTCAGTGTACCTTTTATTTAAATAATCCACACAATTTAACAAAAGATTATGAAGTTATACCGTTTTTAATGTTATTGTCCAATTTGTCTAATATATAGATCTATAACACATTTTTTATTTATACTACAAAATGCGTGTTGTATTATCTTCTTAACTTACTGTTAATAATAACGTCAATATTTTTCACTTTCCTCGAATTGTCAATAAAGCTTTGATTAACACTTTCCGCGAAAACTGTAAAACATCGGGATCGATCCGTTAACTTTTCATAACGATTCGAAATAACGTTATTCCTGGAATTTTTCGATCGGATAATTAGAGCAATTTGTCCTTCCCCGTTCGCCTAACTACTTGACTCTTCTTCCAACCCCGAGCAACCGGTCTGAGTATCTCGAGTCGCAGTCTCTCGCAGTTTTCCCCAGATATTTACTCTGGCGAAGTAGATGCCGAGCTAATTGAACAAACTTCGGATCTCGACCGAGGCTGCGGACCGCGGTTAATAGGGGCTCGCGAGTGTCGGAAGATGAGGGCGAGATACGTGCGCGAAGAGATACTGGGAGCGAAGTGGAACAAAAGGAGCCCAGGCGAAGGCTTGAAGGGCGAAGGCGGGAAAGGTTCAATGTTAATCCATTTTTCCGCGTCCCTTCACCTGGCTGCCCTTCCGCCTTTACCTCGCGCTTTTTCCTAGACGCGGATCGTAATATTAACGGCGGCGAAGCTTACAAGCATCCCCCCAAGGCTTGTCTCTGACTGCGTCCTTAAGCCTCCCTCTTTCCCGACCCTCTTCCTTCCTTCCCCCCCTCCCCGCGCCTTCTCTCTTTTTCTTCTTCTTTTCTTCGGTGAGTTTTATGCGCGTGTCGGTGACTCCCGCTCGACTTAAAACGATTTGCCGAAGAAAGTGGCAATTGGAGAGGCGCGCGATGAGCGCGGCAAAGAGGCGGAGAAAGAGAGAGAAAGAGAGGAGAAAAGGGAACACTGGATGCGCGCCCCGAAGAGATGGCGCGGGAGGATCGCGAAAATCCACCGGAGTGAAATACGTTAACGAAGTTTGTTGCGAGACTGTGCGCGAGGCAAGATACGGGTTTGCAAACTCGAGAGCACGGGTCGGTAAGGGATGGAGACGTCAGGGGTGGAGGGAAGAGGGGACGGATGGACCAGGGCGGGAAAAATAAAACGCGAGCGCGGAAAAGTCGTGCAAATATGCTCTTCTTACTCGCGGAGCGAAGCCGGGCGCGCGCGTGTTGACACGTTCGATTAGCGCGTGCCTGCGCGCGAGTGCTAGTTTCGTTTTGCGAGAAACAAGTCTAAAAAGAGAAGAGACAAACGAGAGACGGCTCTGCGATTCATCATCGGGGCTCGGGCTTTGTCATCGCTTGCGGGAAACCCTATTATCGCGTCACGTGAGCTTTATCATGCAAATAATAGCATTAATAGCGTTACCATCGATCTCCTTCAAAGCTCACTCCCATGCTTCCCATTTTACTCGTGAGTATCCAATGTTCACTGCCTGTATTTTTGCGTCAATTATTATATAAATTATTTATAATGCGATATGAAAATTTTGAAATCTTTGAAGAACCGGTTCGATAGAAATTATTATTCAGAACTCATTCTAATTAAATGCATGTTTGCCTAATTACAAATCTTTCTCGTATCACTTGAATAAATCCAGCATAATCGGGCTGCGCCACCTCTGTCCATTCAACAATACAGCATAACGTAACAAAACGTCAACTCACGTGGTATCATAATGGCACCGCGCTGCGCGCGAGGTGCGGCATGCGAGAGATTGGCTGTTACGCGGCAATAACAATGGAGGATCGGTTATTTTTCGGTGACGTTCACCGGATAGGAAATAGCTGTATAGCCGTTGCTCGGCCGCGTGCGTGACGCGTGTGTATGTACGCGCGTGTACGCGCAACCACTCGCACCCCCTCGATTTTAACGATCATGCCTCAGATATAAGCGGCGACGGTAACGTCCGAACCCTGTTTATCACCGGGGCCGCTTTTGTCCCCGCGCGATAATTTCGGCGGATATCGCGATAACATCACGGCCCGCGATTCATTATTACGCCCGCCCGAGTATCGCGGCCTGACCCTCCCGGACGTACAACGAAATTAAGAAAACACGGGATATTTACGACTGCGAAATATCCGCGTGTACATTTCGGATCAAAAGACTACCGGGAGTGGAGAGAGCGGGTATTACGAGAGATGTTGTTTAATCCAACGTTATTTATCCTCCAGCACGGCCGGGCATCCGGAAAATCGCAGAACGGAAAAACGTACGCCCGGCCAAACGTGAGAGGGGGGGGGGCGAGGGGGGATGGTGTTGCCGATCGACGCCGGGCCCTCCCACGGTTGTGCTCCACGGGTTTTAAAGCCCGCTTTCATCGCCCGAGAATTTCATATCTTTCCTTTCGCAATGATATTTATCAAGCGTAATGCAAGAGCGTGAAGCCCCGGTAATTATATATGAATCCATTAACGGAGCGAAATGGGATTGCGAGCCCCGAGATGAAAAGCGAGTAAGACGGAAATGCGCGAGCGGGGTAAGGGATGGGAGGGACGGGAGATGTAGAACACGACCTCGCGCCAGACGTAGTGCAAACACGCTCTTCTTATTCATGGAATGGAAAAACCCGTACGTTGATTAGCAATTCTTTAAAAGTATACGCTCACGTTACCGCCACCGCATTCCGCCGCTCGCATTTTGCACAAGTTGTAATTTAATGTTGTTGAGTGCTGCGGACATTTCACTTAAGACGTCACGCGGGAAGCGCGAGATCGTTATGCAACATGCATCGGGGGGGATGTAACGACGCGCGCGCGCGGGCGGCGACGATCGTACGAAAAAATTTCAAAAATTCGACCGGATAGAAAATAACGATAAATTGAAACGTCCGCGTCCCAATGGGAATCCTCGTCAAGCACGTATTTACACTGTAATAATTAAAATCTACGAGAACGATGCAAATGAAACAAATTTAACGACGAATCACACAACTGGACGGGAGATTGCAAATCGCTGATACGATTTATTACCGTGCAATATCTTACGATAATTAAATCTTTTTTTAACAACCATAGCTTTTTCATCCACTAATGTCTATGCTCCCGCGCGAAATCTTCATCGCAGGGCGCAGCTATGGTTATTCGATGGCGATTGAAGTTTCTATTAGGTATTGTAGCAAATCGCTAATGTAAAATAAAAATAAAATGACGGCGACCCACTAAAAAAATAGGTGATATAGAAATAAGCGCGCGGTAGTAAAAAGGAGTTCATTTTGAAAGACTGTTTTTTGGCTTTTTTGTGGATGACAAAGAAACGAAGGAGCGAGATTAAGACGTCCCTGTAGCCATTTGCGTTACACTTTGAAATATATTTATTATTTTAAATGATTTATTATTCTGATGTTGTTTGCAAATTTGCTCCACTTTAAATTTTTAGTACGGACACTTACAATTTTTTTTATGGATCTATTTTCTTACATATCGATTTGTGCTCATTTTCTGATTTGTCTAATTGTATACGTAAGTAAGAACAGATAAGTCTCTTTGAATATTTTCCTTCGTCAATCTATCTTAATAATTCTGTTTTTAATATTCGACGTCAACGTCAGAGATGAATTAAATAAAAACACTCATGTCAGAAAATAGTAATTTTGCCACTTAGATTAATTTGGAATACGTCAACTGATAAATGAGAATCGGATATCTATTTTTACACACTGACTTCGAATATTTCTCGATACAATCGGATCATAAACATAGAAACAGTGACTGTTTGAATTAGACGAGTTTAACGCTTACATGCCATCGCTTCAGAATAAAAAATTAAAATGGTTACTGGTATGTCAGTTTAGGATCTAACAATTCTAAAATTTGCAGTTATTTTATTTTGCAAATAAAACTACAAAATAAAATAACTGCAAATGCACTTACTGCACATTTTACAACAAGCGGTGAAAGCAGAAATATAGGTCGACAAGTCATCGAATGACAGATGAAAATTCGATTTGTCAAGGCTTTATCGGGACTCACCTTTCCTCAGGGTCATCGTTCGGGAGCCCTCCATAGGACTGAACAGACCATTGCACGTCGCGTCGCCGCTCTGCGCCACCCGGTACACCTCGGCGGTGCCCTCGGGCACCGGCCCGCCGGCCGGCAAAGCGACTTCGTGGTCCATGGTGCCCATGCCCATGGCCGCCCTGTTCAGGTTACTCTGCACCGTCTGCTGCCCTGCCTTCTCGTAGACAAAGCACCGGTATCGATCCTCGTTGCTGGACGCGTGGCCGTGATGCAGACGGCCGACTAAGTAACGGCTGCTGCCTTCCTTCCAGGTGGCCAGGCATTCCAGCTCCTCCACTGAAACGCGCGAAAGAGAATACCATCTTGAGCAAACCTTCGGGAGCTAACGGTTAGTTTCGAGCGAGCGCAAGTTTCCGCAAAACCGTAGCATTCGCGTGGCATATAGTGCGCGAGACCGCACGAGTAGCAGGATCGGAACGTCTTCCAACGCCTTCTCGGATGCGATATGTATCGGAATGTCTCACAAAATCCGAACACTGTTCTCACAGGATCTATATAGTATTCATGGGAATCTGGCGAACCGTCTCTCGAACAGTAATTTCTACAAACAATCCTCGAACCGATCTTTCCTTATTATCTATTAAAGCGGCTACTTAAAAACTCTCGAAACAACTACCGAGCGGACCTACCGGGGTTTCTTTAATCCTCTGCGAGCGCGATATCGGCGAAGTCTCACACGTGCGAAACTAGCAAATTGTCAACGGCGCCCCGATGTGTTAAGATCTGCTTAGATTCGAGAGCACCGTGTGCTCTTACAGCGCGCACGGGCGCAGAAAGCGTGTGTAAAGCATTTGAAACTTCGAAAGTGCATTTAGCGTTTCGAAGCGTGTTACAAGATAATGGTGAAGCACGGTTGCGGCCTGACACTGCGCGCGCGCTCCTATGTTTAAACTGTCTGGAGCAACAAAATTAAATGAATTTGAGTTTGACGCGCGCGGAGCGCGCTAAACATGCTTTCGAAGTTTCGAAGCGTTTTACACGCTAGACTCGTTCTCAGGAACGGCCGCCGTAGCTTCGGCTCGATATACGTCCCAAAGTTTTATTCTGTGAGAACGACTCCGTATACGTTGGGTGCGAGACCATTCGCTAAAGAATCGAAAGGAGAGAGCTCTCAATGACGCTTGCTTAACGATTCTATTGCTTGAAAGCGGCTGTCGGGGTAAAATCTTCCGTAACATTTGTACCTTTGGATAGTGCGGAAACTTTACAATATCTGCAGCAAACGATTGGGGATGATATCATCATAGAATTCGCATTACAATTGCTGCTCTCACTGTTTCTATTTACTTTTTTCGACAAAGTAAATTCTACATACCAATAATAATATTAAAATTAAATATAAAGAGACTCAAAGATTAAAAATCAATAGAAATAAAATAAAACGATTTAGAGCCAGAACTAGGTGTTCGTGTCGATGTATTTAATACGATGTGCCCACACGGAGAGAACTTTTGTGTTTCAGAAGATTGCGTTTTTGCGTGCTTCTGTAATTTTTAATTGCCGTTTCATTGTAACTATGTTTCATTGTACTACACTGAAAACGGTCTGAACACGGACCGAAACGTTTGTGAAATTTAATTCGCATTAACATCGACACGAACACCTAGTTGTGGCTCCAAGCTCTTTTTTTATTTTTATTGATTAAAATTAAAGTTGCGCAGCAATATTGCGCGAGTGAAACAGAAGTGATGCCTCCTAACCATCGCTGATTTGCCTCTTCGAAATACAGACGTTAATCGCGCTCTAGCTCAAAAATATCGATATACATCGCGGCTAAAACTTAACGTTCGATTTGGCAAATCGTTGAAGTAACTCTTTCGGCGTGCCCCATTATCAGCCATTCGCAGTGGCTAGAAGCACCGCCTCGTAAAGAGGATTTCGATAGCGCTGCTGAAAACGCCATTGAAGGAATGAGCCAATGCAAACGGTTCGAGAAAAAGCGGCGAGACGAGAGAGGCGAGGAAGCGAGCGAACGTCCTCCAGCGATCGTAGACGGACCACCGCCATGATTTCCACGTGAAAAACGTTACCGCGATTACTGACCGTTGCCCGTCGGCCATACTTCGATATCCATTTTCACTTCGCCGCTGGATTTTTTATTCGTCGTGTGCAGTTTTAATGAAAACGTAGCAATTCATGGTTGACGGGGAAAATAGATGAAAGGGATATATTGCTTCATCACGAGAGTCGAATAATCGCTATATATATCTGCTAATTTAAAACGCCGCACTAATTAATTTCTACTAGATTTATTTACTAGAAGATTGTTTCTCGAGATATCGAATCATGTTACTGAAAAAGAAGTCAACTTTTTCAAAGAGTCAAAAAGTCAGTTCTTTCACGCGTTACACCGTATTAGGTTTTAAATTTTGTAACATAAGAGAGTCCACGGATTCAACTGTGCACATAACATGCGATAAGCAAAGAAAAGCTTTTTTGCTTTGACTAAGCGTCTTTTTTTTCCCCTCTGAAAGCCAGTGAAGTCTTATTTTGTACGTAGGATGGGAAACTATTTCAGTATACAAATTCCCGCTAAGAAAACGCTGACCTAAAACTCGTCAAAAAGGACCGGCGGTTGAAAGATCCGATAGATCCGAGGGAGCGTGTGCAGGGTACGAGAGTATCGCTCTGTATATAGTCGAGGCTATTCGCGGCAAAAATGTTTCGAGCGCGGCGACCGCGGACGCGCGGCGCGCCGTCGAATATACGCTTGTCGCCGTAAAGACGCTTCCCAGAGCGCTCTTTAAAGCGCCATTGGGAGAGCCGGGGCATTCAACGACAGACGGAAAGGGACGATCGGAGGAAGACGAATGAACGAGGAAGAAGCGCGGAAAGCGACCTGACGGTGCGGCGAACGAACGAGCGAGCGAGCGAGCGATCGACTTGGCGAGAGCGAGAGCTCGGGGGAGATTTCCGTGTGAAAAACGATACCCGGGATTCTCTCCGAGCTCTGTCGCCGCTAGAGAGATCCCTCGGCTTCCTCGACGCGACCGACGAGACCGACAATTATCGGTTCGGAACCGGACTTCGACGTACAGCCCGAAAGACCGCGCAAAGAGCGAGAGATGTTATCGTTTCAAGCTCCACTCGTTCAGTTCCGCTTTGCCACTTCGACCATTCTCGCGCTCTCTCGCTTCCTCCGTCCTTTTCTTCCAGCCTTTAGTCCCTTCTAGAGCGCGGAATAGAAGCAGCGGTGGGATCCCGGGAGCCGCGTATCTAAATCACATCTCGCGCGCGCGAAAGTCTGCCTTCCCTTTTTCCAAGACTCTTTCTCGCCGCGGCTCGCTCTTTCACTGCCCTCGCGACCGGCGCGCGGCGCCTCCTCACCTTTTTATCTTCTCGCTCGACCGCCGCGCCGCGGAGAGTCGGTTTTTTGATCTCCAAGTAATTTGAGAGTAACGCTTGGAAAAAAGACCCGTTCCTGGATTTTTCCAGGTGCTTCTACTTCTGTGCTATCACCCTCGCCTTTTTTCCTTCGCGTTTCTTCGAAGACTCGGATTTTTCCGCTGAAACGTCAGTGTCAGCCACGCGTTGAAAGATGAATAGGCAACCGACTGATCAATAATATAAAGTTGTAAACTATTCGTAATCATTTATTAGATTTATTAGAGGAATCGAAAATAACAGTGATGAATTTTTAACCCTCGGTGGTCACACTTCTTTTTTGAACATTTCTTTATAGGATTTTTTTGAACATGATGCCACTTAAAAGTTAATTTTTAATACATTCTACAATGTTTAAAGTTAATTCTAGAGTTTTTGCGATCCACTTAAACTGTTAGTTTTTAAACAAGCATGCAGCTGTTTGAAAATTGGTTGGGAGGATACTTTGACCACCGAGGGTTAAATATCGAATTTTCTGAAAACTATTGGTAACAATATTTGTCTGCAGCGTTACAAAATTTGAATAATTATACAAATACGCGTTTTGCCTTTCTTTTTTTTTTAATCAAATCGATTCGACAGTGAACAAAGGTGGCGTGTTTGTCCGTTAGTTATGGAAATAAAAATTACGTGTCACGAAATTCGGAAACACCATACCAGTTGAACGATAAAAACCGATTCTCTACGCGAGACGCTTAAATCGCTATATCAAATTATAAAAATTTTCAAACGAGTGGATAAAAATTTATTCCACGCTGTGCGCTCGTCAATGACGATACATCGCTCAATAAATCGGTTTCTCAACAGGTTGTCGGGGCTAGGAAACCGGAAGGCGTTGACGACGTCCTTTTTCGCGCGAATAGCGGGATTCGGGATAAAAGAACTGTAATACCCCTGCGTCGATTTAATTCTGAAAAATCTGCCGCCTGACCGACTCGCAATCGCTTTTTTCCCCCCTCCTCCCCCGCAAAGTGCGCTAGTTAAAGGTACGATTCGTCGGTTAGATTTCGAACGAAACCGTTTCCATTTTGGTGGGTGTTTGAAAACGCAGGACCAAAGCGCATCGAAAGTAAATCCGATCAAACGCGATGAGGAAAATAGAAGAAAATGCAGGATATAAAAGCCGCACACGAACGCCGGTCGGTTCTTTTATTCACATCGTCCACCGTATTTACATGGCATGATGTGCATAGATTCTTTTAATCCGCCCTGTTATCAAGGATATATACGCAGGTATTCCAAAGTTTTATAAAATCGATGGCTTCCCCAAATTGCAGCATGGAATTCTCTTCGACATATAGCGTGATGGATCACAACATCTCTTTGATTAATAATGAAAATTTATTATTCCTTTTATAGACGAGCAAGAAGCATGAATTTTTTGTTGGAGAAAAATTATTCGTATTTTATGATTTTGCGATAAAATAGAAACTACGTAGTAAACGAAACGAAAATTATGCGTACGTTGATGTTTTTCTCGAAATACACATAATTGCAGTGTGCGTATAAATGCAAATCGTTTTGTAAAACACACGATTTTATGAATAAATCTTGACTTGACTTCGTCAAACTCGAGTATCTTGTTAATTTTCGCGGTAAATTATTAAATCAAAAGGACATTCGCGGAGAGAAATGAATATTCTATTCTATTATCCCCTATCATCTGGCCGGTGATAACGGCCCTAATAGCAGCCCCAGAATCGACGAGGTTGATGAATATTTAGACGCTGCCCACACATTTTGCAATGTAACTTGGTATAATTGACAACGCTACCGTTGCTTCGAAACGGATTATCGGCGGTATCGATTATACCGCAATATATTAAACTGAACACACGTCGGTCAAAAATAGACATATAAACCCCGTATTGACTACAAATTTAATCTCGCTGTGCCGCGCTATTAAATGCAAATCCATCGAATAACGAGCGTTTAATTGAAGCGCGCAAGATATACAAACCGGTGATAGCCAGGCCAGTCTACCGGAGTCGCTGAAGTGACTGCTCGCGTATGAGGTATCAATCGAACTAATAAGTTGCACTACTCAAATTAAACTGTACCAATTAAACAGTAGATACATACGCTAAACAAAGATCTGCCTCGATATATAACTAATGGGTCTCTTAATTTCAATTTTCTAAAAATAAACTTACAGGTAAATTAAAGCTGATGCTAATAATACGAAAATATAGAGTATTTTCTGCATGGAAGCGGCAAGTAGAATTTCACGTCGTAACATTTATTACGTTACGACGAATTATGTAAAGTACCGCACGCAGTACCGCCAAAGAACCGTAAAGATTATAAAACCTGTATTTGCATAATTTTGTAATAATACGATTATCGCGTTTTGCATAATTCGTAGTAACAATAAATGCTTCGACGCATCCTGACTGTGTTGCACAAAGCGTACACATGTTGTAAAATAAATTTTACAAAAAATTTACATGTATATTCGTGTTTTCAATAGTATGAAAGTGTGAAGCTTATGAAAAACACAGAGACTTTTAATCTTTAGTGATATTGAAATATATATAACGGAAAAGCTATGGGTAATATTTTTGTTGAAACGAAATGCACGCCAGATTTGTCAAAGAATATGTAGGTGAAAAATAATACGCGAGGAAAGAAAAAGAAAAAAGCTTGCTCACGCCACACTCACACTTTTTCTGCCTTTCAGAGGCCGAACAATAATTTGTAGCTTGTTTTTTAGACGAATTAGAAATCGTGGATTTCTCCTTTGGCTGCACTTTGCGCCCTTTTTTGTAAAGTCTACAATGAGAATTTAAGGCATAAAATTTAAGCTTAAGTCTTAAGTTTTCCCGAAATTTCGATAAAAGCCTTAAGCCATAAAAAATTGACCAATCACGGTCGAGTATCCTTCTCACATTCGACTGTGATTGATCATGAAATTGCAATTTCTTACGGCTTAAAGCTTAAGCTTAAATTTTACGTTTTAAATTCTCATTGTACAGACACCGCTTAAAACGCAGACAACACTTTCCGATAAATCGAGGAGTATCTTACCTGCGCTCTCCGAAGCTGGTACGTCGGGGCAGGCTTGATATTTGAAGAGAAGTCTGCTGTCATCTGTACAGGTGTCGACGTTGCTCGGCGGGTTCGAGCACGTGCCGTGGCCGCGGTTGTACGAAAAGGTCATGGGGCCGCGAAAAGGGCACGCGACGGGGGGTGCCTCCTCGCGGAACATGGAGTATAGCAGCGCATCCCCCGTAATATACGAGCAGAGAGACGCCAGAGAGTTCCTATTGTGGCAAAAAGCTGCAAGAGAAAATTAATTGAGATTAAATGCGCGTCCCGGCTGCGTTATCTCGCACGCGCGCGCGCGCACACACACAATATATCCTACATTAATAATAAATCTTATATCCGGCCGGTGTTTCATATCAGCGACCCAAATTTTCCCGAAACGTATATTCGTTACACGAAAATGTGACATCGTGCATTAAACCGCGGCGTTGAGAATGACAGAAGTAGGTATATGTTAAATAATTCAATGAAAAGACACAAAATTTATGTATTATAAATGAGAGATACGTTAAATATATTTAGCGCGTTTGTTTTAAACGTTATCGCAGGCACGGCGGTATAAAGTCATAATTTCTCCCGTGTCAGAAGACAAACCACTTGAGAATAATTGATGACGAAAATCCAATTATCTCTTACGATATCATTTTCTTCGATAGTTATACAAAGAGAAGGCGATGTTATTTTCTGCGACAAAGGAATTATGCACCTAGATGACATATTCGGAGCTTATATTTTTAGCCGCATTCGCATTCGGCCAAGTCCATAAGAATTCTATAGACGGGATACTGTTACGATCGACTCGAGAGATTACGATTAGGACTCCCGTGTAACATCGTGAAAACTTCAATTTTCTCGAACGCAATATTGCCGTTATCGGATTTCGCTGATGATAACGTATCACTCGTACAGCGTAAAGTAAATAAAAGCCCCTACAAGTCGTCCTATTTCCCATTACTTGCTTCACTTCGCCCACGGAAAAGTTTTCCGCGGCAACAAATCTCTCGCTACGGCGCGTATACGTATCATTTTTCGAGCGAGCCAACGATAATCGCAGTTACATCTCTTTTTACGGGGGGGACTATCCTTCGGGGAATCACGACGTTAATAAAAATTTTGCCGGGTAACGGAAAGTTCTTATATCGCCGGTGACGCGGAGAACGGGGAGGACGAGGAGGCGGAAGAGAGGAAGAAGCAGGTCGAGTTGGACGATGACGAATCTTTCCTGAGTAGCAAGTTCATACCCGCGGTGGAAGTTTAACCGAGGATATTTCCCTCCGATTTCTTTCCCCGCAGCCCTCGCCGCGCCGCGCCGGTAGGCAGGAAAGCGGCGGAAGCTTCCGCGAAAGACTTCGCTTCGCAAAGAGACTTAACTTTTCTGCACGCAGGTGTTACCCGCGGCCAGCGAAAAATCGAGCAAAAGACTTTTGTCTCCGGTCTACCTCTTTATTGGCGGCAGCCCCGAGTTTTCAGATCGCTTGAAGCTTCTCTTATAATTTTAATATTTTTCGACGGATTGTTCGAAATTGTTCAAAATTCACGTACGCCAACTTTAATATTTTGGCAAAAATATTTAGATATTATATTTTATTTAGTAATATTTTATCAGCGACAGATGTATTGCTAAAATAAAATATTCAGGTGTCGAATTAACGGTACGTCACGCGTGATATTTATTCAATTGTGCACGCCACACTTATTGAATAGAGAAAGTCCTGTATCTATCGACACGTACGGCGAAGATGGAGTCTCGCTCCTTGGCGCCGCATACGGGCGAAATTCGCGTTTCTTTAATAAAATATACGTCGTATGTGGAAATATTGCGTTCGCTTCGACGTTTCATTCATCCGCGCTTTTGACGTTTCGCAACTGAGTTGCCTGGATTCGCGCCGCGCCGTGCCGGAAGGATAGGAGAGCCAGCGGCGCGCGTTTCGTCTCCGTTCTCCCATTTTTCCCCGACGACAAACTGTGCTCAACGAAGGCAGTCTGCGAGCGACGGTGCCTGCGGCGTGACACTATGCAGATTAAAGCCCGATAAAACGACGAGAGGAGAGAAGAAAAACGGGGGAGGGGGAGAGGGGGAGAGGGGACTTTGACAAATCGTCGAAAAATGCCGACGCGAGACGTAGGAGGCGGATCCAGCGCGGACGCTGTCGCGCTTTTTCCGCTCGTACATGTTGACCTACGCTTTTTTCTCCTCGCTAACCCCGAGCTGCGCGAGTAGTAGCCCGCGCTATCCCTATCGCATCCGGTGGGCGAAACTTCGGGTTACTTCTTGGTGCTCGTATCGTCGCGCTCGATAATCGATAAAACTGCAAGGGGGAGATACATTTCTGAATTGTTCAAAATTGTTGTACCGAAACTAGTCAACTACGTCGCAATCTCCGGAAAGTTCTATAATTATAACGCGAGACGTCGCGTAATTGCGGTTTCTCATAAAAAATAACTGTTTTCGCACTGCGAGTTTTTCTCTCGTGTAATACAAATTGTCGAATTTTTCGTACATATCTTACATATAATGCAGTTTAATTTAATTCTCTCGATTTAATAGATAAATCCAAAAACTAGGAACTTCAAAAAATGTTAAGTAAATTACATTATTGTAAAACTTTTCCTAAGCATAATGTATGAATCGTACATTAAGATAAAAGATTAGTTAGGATTGAGAATTATGCAGAAATGGGAACTGATTGTAGCTTGAAAGAGAAAAACGGTTACTATTGTTTTTTCAATTATTAGAATTAGATGGAGCGAGTTTTTCGTCATACACGTCACAAATGGTTTAATTTAATTCTTTCGATTTAATAAATAAATCCAAAAACTTCAAAAAATGTTGAGTAAATCACATTATTGTAAAACTTTTCCCAAGTGTAATGTATGAATCGTAGATTAGGTTGAAGGATTAAGTTAGGTTTTGAGAATTGCGCAAAAGCGGGAACTGATTGTCGCTCGAAAGAGAAAAACGGTTACCATTGTTTCTTCAATTAGCATTAGATGAAGCTGAACAATTATTCTATTTTTAACTATTTAACATATAGAAATCTGCAGGGGATACTTGCATTAGCGTCGGCAGTCGCTAACCGGAAAACTGGAACGCGCAGCGCACTTCAATCCGCGAACGTGCAGAGTGTGAAATACGGCAGCGTTTTGTTAGGAATTATTATCATGTTTCGGCGAGTTCGCTTCTCGCTCGGATGAACACATTAACGAGGTAGATAGAAAACGAATATTTCATAGCGGTGAGGAAGAGGAGGGTTGTTCTCGATCGCCTTTATACAGTAAACAAGATTGGTACTCGCGGAACGGAATTAGCGAAACCGTTTTCGCAACGGCTTCTTCTAATGTCTCCGGCGTTCATCGCGCCCGTCGTTCCTCACAACGACACGGAAAATCGTTAAGTCTCTCGTCCAAGAATAATTTCAGACGCTACGACTCAACTCTCGGCATTCTCCCTTCCCTCCCCCACCCCGTCATCGCGTCAGCTTTTAATTATCGGCATTCTAATGAACGAACCGGCTCTTCGAGGGCCACCGGCGAATCGTTATCGACCCGGCGAAATAATGACGACACCGTGCCGCGCACGTGGCGCATTTATTTTTAGGTACTTTTTCGTACTTACTCTCTTTGTACTGCAGAACGTTGGAATGCTTCTCGTGAATGACGACGCAACGGTAGCATGATTTCCTGAAACAGAAAAAGAACGAGGCGATCTGCCTTAATTCATGTTTCATTTCACGTTGCCTCGATAAGAGAACGTTATCCTATTTGATTCCGTTCTCGTGTTGAAATCAGACGTGTAAAATGGAACGATTTGAATAATACATTTTTAATTGTCAAAAATGTAAGCGAAAATTGCAACTAACCAACAATACTTCTCCATAGAATGGAAGAAATAGTCGTTACTTATAGAACTAGAAGCATCTGATTTTCGTAATTGCTAATCAATAATCAACGCGATTTTTACAATTGTTTACGTCAACGGTCAACATTATTACAGTTTCGTTGTATTTTAATTGTGTATAATTTTGTTACATTAAAAGGATGCGGTGACGTTCAATTTTCGCTATATCGTGTCTCACGGCGCGTTTCTTTTGCAACTTTTTTCATATCGTTTGACGGTATATCGATCGGACACCTTGCACAGGCAAGTCTGATAGTGATCTTCGCAAAAAACTTGGAGAGCCGGCTCGTGTGACACGAGCATTACACGGCGAAACAGAAGCTCGGCTTCCATCGAGGCTTCATTAGACTCATTACGTCTCTGGGCCGCGTCTTTTCTTCGCGTTTTCGAGAGACTAGATTGCATTCAGCTATCGTAAAAAAATCGTGGACCGTTGTCAGCGATACGGACCGCGTGGCACAATTTTTATCTTTTGATAAAAGCAGTTTACTTAAAGAAGCATTATTTAATTTTAAATGAAAGATTCAAGGTGTGACATGGTGACAGGTTTATCTTCTTATACACAGAAAAAAAAGAAGTGTCAAATCAACACTGATATACTTGTACGCAAGAATATATAATCTTATAAGAATTTTAACTTTTTATTTTAACCAAGTTGGCTCACAGTTTTTCAATGTTCATACCGAAAAGACGTTATTTATTGCCAGTCACGGTCGATTTAAAGAAATTACTTGATTGTTATTCTATACTGGCAAAAGAAATTTATTATTCTTTTTATTTTAATTCATTTTTCTTGGTCGAACTATATAAAACTTCGTTTAATACTATAGGTATAAATATGATATAAATGACTTTATTTAAGCACATTTTCTTCATTTAACGCAATATCATCTTATTTCAAGATATATTATACATTCTTGCGTATATCGGTGTTGATTTGACACTTCTTTTTTTGTGTATTATCTGAAGTATCGAATTTCTTCGAACTAAAACAAGTCTCAAGGTATATAGCTGCACGTTTTTAAAACGATATCGCCAATTTTACAGAATTGAATAAACCGCTACTCGTGATAAAAAAAAATAGGGATCCAGGTTATTCGGTCGACTGATTTCGCCATATTAGCTTCAGCAGCTTTGATCGGTTGGATACACGAACTGTATATGTTATCTGAATCCTATATAGAAATAGCTCGGTAGAAATTTTCAGAGTAGAAATTGTCTCGCTACAATTGCTTGCGATACACAAAGAGGTTAAAATGAACACGTTACGAGTAAATAAATAATATCGATAGCTTTTTTATTTTGTTTCGATACTGGAAGAAACCGATATTGGATTAGTTCAAAAGTTATTAATCCTTTATTGCTTTTGATTATTTATTACGGTGTAATTCGAGAATGAAAATAACAACCTATAAATTTTTATATCCAAAGACAAAGAATACTTTCAATTGTTAACAATAAAGATCCAGATAATCTAATTTAATCCTTCTTTTTTCGATAGAAAAGCGTGCTTTATTCTATTATTTGTTATCTAAAGATAAGTCGATATACAATAGAAGATCACAATAAAATATTCTGTTTTCAAAATAATTTTATATAAAGTTTTCAAAAGCATTTACAATCTTGTTTCAAGTACTTTATAACAGATATATAATTTCGTGAAATAGGTAAAAAATAAATCGGATTACTTACTGATCTACCAGGAGAAACTTGTCACCTTCGTTGTGAAGACACCTGCCCTTGGTGGATAATTCGTTCTTGGATATTAATATTGATTGCCTCACGCCACTTTGGAACCACGTGCCTTCCCACCTCGCTGGAAACAAGCATTCTGAAACGGCAAAAGGTAGATCAAGGTTTATAAATTGTTTCACGTCGCGTTTAATATGCTGTATAATGTGCGCGCGTTACATTTTTCATCATCATCATTATTTAGGGTCGTGGCACACAAAAAACTTAAGCAATAAAACTTAAGCAGTAAGCGAATCAGCCACAGTCAAGAACTTGAGGCATAACGTAAAAGCGGTATAGCAAATCCAAACTGTTGGTTTTCTTACTGCTAACGTTTTACTGCTTAAGTTTTTTTTATATATGTGCCAAGGCCTTATTTCGTGAAAATCTACGTTGAATCTCAAACGCGAATTTAAAAATTTAATTATTGAAAGTGGTTTCAAATTTTGACGAAAAATCTACAAGTGATAAAATCATGCGCGATAAAATCAACAGGTATTCGCGCAATATGGTATTCTTCACATTTCCAAAATTCTTACTTAATATCTCTACTTTTGGCGAGATGTATCTGATCGTCGTGCTATACACCGTACGAGAAGAAACGGAGAGATGTAATATGTCCAATGAAGTAATTCAGGACAAATCGAATCCGAGGCCGAAGATAAGAAGAAAAAGGAGTAGAAATATCAAATAAGAGAGAAAAAGAGAGAAGAGAAACTTAGGGGCAGATGAGTAGAGAGAAAGTTGAGAGAAAGAAAGAGAGATCGGGGAGACACAGCGTCGGTAGCGAGATGGGAATTCCTGGGGCGGGATAATCCCGAGGGCGAGGCGAATTTCCGGAAACTACTGCTAGTATGGAAGGGATACATCCAGCCGAGTTATCGACGATAATCGAAATCCGGAGGAGTCCCTCGTGCCTCGTTCGTTCTCCCGTGCGTAGGTCCACCTATATACTGAAAACGAACGGAGAAACGGGGTACTCGCTATGGCGAGGCGTATTTTTGAGCTCGACGAGGCAGAATAGGAATCCATTTTCGAGGAACGAGCGATACAAGATGATGTCTGGACCAAACATGAGGTGAAAATTACGAAATAGGAATGACGGATGTATCCTTGCTTTCCTTCACGTACGATACTTATCGCTTTCTTATAATTCTATACACTGACAATGAGAAACAAAAATTGTTAACTTGACTAAATATTTTCAACTGGTTATTATTTTTTTAATTGAAATATTTATGTATTTTAATTAAATACGGCATATTAAATCTAACATGACGTAAATTGACCCAAATACTTGAATATTTCAATAAAAAAAAATTATAATCAGTTGAAAATATTTAGTCAAGTTAACAATTTTTTTCTCAGCATTATTTTTTCAAACGATAAACTTGATATAATCAGTGCTTTTTATATCAGTAATTTGTGTGTGTAATTACACATGCGCGCATGAATGGTTATACATATTATATGTATAACAATTATATTATTAGGCATATTATATTATTACATATATTATACATGTATGTAATATGTTGAACAAGTCATATCTCATGAATTGTGTACGAACTTAAATGGTAATCTAATCGAATAATTATGATTTCACATTTCACAAGGAAATTACTACATACAATCTCCTGTTAATCGAGTAGCAATCGTTTCTTGGAATATCGCGTAATGTCTTCATCTCACCTCGATTCGAATTACCATTCTATGTATGTCCGATGTAATTTACATCAGATATTAATTTAATAGCTTAACTTTATTATACATAGAACCGCACCGATTCGCTTGCAGAGGTATTCTTCGTTAATATGCTATCAGATGTAACTGCCTAAACTCCCTTTATATGTATAAAGCAGCACTAACCAAATCGCTAAAACTAATAGGCTCATAATTTTGATTTACGCAGTAATTAGCGCCATAAATTCTGCCCGAAATTTACATGTATTTACTTATAACTTTTATACAAAGGTACACTGTACATTTTCACGTAATATAATTTTCAGGTAAAAGTGTGGAAAGAAGAGTAAATGTCGCATGAAGACGTATCGAATAACCGTGACATCGTTTAATGCACTTAATTAGGTAACGGCGAGCGTAATTGAGAGGCGGACGCGAAACTTGGCGCACGGCGCGGCGTGAAAGTAATTCAACACAGAGAAATATTTTCGCAAGGATTCGCGCGGCGGTAACAAAGGGAAATTTCAGCAGGAGTCCCTGTAACGGGACAAGACTGTTATCGTTTCCCCAAAGTTGACTCACGGTGTTGATTCGTCTAATTGGAGAGAGGTTTTTTTTAGCTCTTTAAGGGGGAGAGACTGTTAAATGTTGGTTGAATGGTTTACCGGACCGTGGGGTAAATAGCCGGCCCATCAAGAACGAAGCTCTGCCCGGCTAACGCAAATTTTGACTAGCTATTTGTAATAACAAGGCGCGAACAAATTCCCCACGCTGAATGTTGAGATTGCCCTTTTAAAGTATCCTCCCTTTCTCGTTTCCGCGCGCGCACGAATGGTCGTTGGACACGTTAAGTCTTCGAGGTTTTATTATAGTTTGCACAAACATAACGCTCCTCTTCTTTATTCTGTACAAAGGAAACAAAGAGAGAGACCGCGTTTCTTAATAAGTTTAAAAACGCTTTTATATAAAAATAAACGAGAAAGTCAAGGCGCGCGCGAAGATCCACCGCGTGTTTCGTTGCTCTTGCTGCATGAAAATTGTCCAGAAGTCCTACCGTCTCGCATTCGAATCCATTCCCTCTCTTCCAAAATATGATTCCTCGGGGGAGTTGACTCTCTAATTTTTGCAAACTACATTTAACAATTTGTCAATTTTTATCTCTGGATCTCGTGTTTACAACACATAAATATAAAGTATTCGCAAAAAATAAGAGAAAAGAGAAATGTATTTTATTAAAACAACAGCGTTTTACGAAAGCAAAACATTGATATCCGTAAAACATTTTACGTATGTATTTTACAACAAACGAACATACGGGATTAACCTGGCACCGTCGGCCGCTGTTTATTTTGCATCATTCATAGCAAACAGAAGTAATTGGAGGGTCAAAAGGAGAGATTGATTATATGCGATGAAAAAATCATCGAACACTCAAGAACGACGGGTACAGGTGCGTTTAGCGAAATGGAGATCGATACGACGCGCGCGGGGGGGCCCCCAGAATTCGTCAGCTGCCCTCTTTCGCATTCATCTCCCTCGCCAATCGCCGTTTTAACGTCGGCGGCGGCCACCCCAAGCATTTATTTATTTGCACGCGGTTCGTATGCCGCACGTTGCCTCGTTTCCCCGGGCGCGACGAGCGGAAGGGTGAGAGAAAGGGGGAAAGGGGGAAAGAAATGAGAGAGAAAGACTCCCCGAAGGTCGAGGAACGCGACGCCATGTACCCGCGAGGGGTGAGATTCCCGCGAGTCGCGCTAGGGCTATAAAATCCACAGCGAGACTCGAAATCCGTAATCACAGTTCGCACCAGCCGCCCACTATGATGGAGCACCATCGCGAGAGAGGAAGAGGAGAATGAAGGGAAACCGCGGGAAAAGAGCTGGGGAAAAAAGCAGCGGATATAACTCGAGCTTGCTGTTCAGATTTCGAATGTTACGTGAATTTCATAGAAACTTTTCTTTTAAATATCATTCTTACAACTATAATTCTAATTAACCATCTATTTGGCGAACGAACGACAAATAATATTCGCCGTTCTAATTTTTCCCGTTATAATTATTAATTAAATTAATTTATATTTCCAAGAATTTGATGCTGAAGAAGGCTAAGTAAAGCCGAAATGTGCACAGTAAAAATTTTCTCTTATCAATTCTTTATATTTATGTGTTATTAAGAATAAACTAATTTATCAGATTAGTTTATAACATTCTTTTATTTAGCTCGTATTGTTGGCCTACTTACCACATCCTACTCCTTGCATTACATAAAATGTGCCTAACAATCTAACAATTACGTGAATTTCTTCGATTAGCCTTTTTATTATTAAACTGTTTTTAAATCGTTTTACCCGCTGTTTGCAATAATAATCAATTTTTAAAAATCAAAACGTCTCTATAACTCACGTCTGTATATCGCCAATCAATTAATCTCATCGCTTAAAAGCGGTTTTGATTTTCCGGCCAAAATCTTCGGCTTCGAACGTTACGGGTTTTAAAGAGCAATTAAAAGTGGTGGTGACGCGCTAACAAAGCTTCTTCCGATCGCGAGGGAGGATAAATCGAGACACGCGAGCGCGAGCTCTCGGTCAATCTAGCACAACAAAAGATTTTCCATGCCGGAGAATGGCGGTGGAATGGAGAAAGGGGCGAGAGCGGGAGCTTTTCGACCACACCGGCGAAATGGAATGCCCTGAAATTTTATATTTATGCTTCATGCCCGGGTTACATGTATCCGCCGGTTTCGGTAGGAAAACTCCGACCGAGTGGACAAAATCGATATCGGCGTCGATATACGCGTGTCGATCTAGCCCGGGATCGGTAAATTGAAATCCATAACCGCGATATGTGTACCTCTACACATATCTCGGTTACCATGACGGAGTATCTCGTCTTCGAGCAGTAAGGGAATGAATCGACACTGCAATTCTCGTGTTGTATCGAACGTTCTATGATTTCACTTTTCCTTCGTTTTCGCAAATATAGCCGCGTAAAAAAAAAAAAATGGTCGAGATGACCTTCTCAGTTTCGTGGATGATCTCTGCAGATTTATATGTCGCTGAATAAGTCGTAATAACAAGGAATCGAATTATGACATTTTATTTAATTACATTTATTTGATTAGAACTTTTAGTTTGTATATAATAAACCGCACGTTACAAATTTATATTCTAATAGACAATAAAAGAGAAAATTATTGCATTACTTGAGATCGTTGTTTGTTAAATCTGTTCATTGTGTTTGAAATATTACAGTTATAACATTTTGGTCGGGATATCCTACAGTTTTGAAATACCGTGATATAGAACACTTTATCGATAGCAAAGAAAATAAGGGAGGGAGGATGAATAGAGATTGTGAGTAGGCTAACTTGCGGATGAAATAACGATAAAACTTTCGTCGTAATAAATAACGCCGTATC